GAGCTATGAATGTAGAATTTATGTTGGCGAATAATTTCTCTTTCATTGGTAGGATAGCTCATTGCTTCATTGTTCTTGCTCGAAATCTCATTGCTATTTTCACTTTTATCATTCAGGCTGGGAGTCACATCATTGTCATCATTGGTGATTTCTGATTCATGCTTGTCTTTCATTTCGTTTCCATTGCTTGTATTCTGATTTATTTCCACATTTTCATTCAGAACAGTTTCATGTTCCTTGGTGCCTTCTGTCTCGTTTGCATCTTGCATTTCAATACTTGCCCCACCATTATCAATCAGGCCTGTTCCGATGTGATCATCTTTGCTTTCATTGCTCAATTTGAGCTCAATTTGTTGGTTACCTGTTGAAAGAAATGGTACTCAATAAATAACTGAATTTAAATAAATTAGTTGAACTGTTTTTCATATTTGTTTTAACGTAGTTTAGTCCACCTCTGTTAATTCCCCATTCTATTAAGTCCTCACCTCCCTCTATATTTATCTCCATCTCCCTCTATTAAGCCCCACCTCCCTCTATATTAAGCTCTACCTCCCTCTATATTAGCTTCCACCTCCCTCTATATTAAGCCCCACCTCCCTCTATATTAAGCCTCACCTCCCTCTATATTAAGCTTCCACCTCCCTCTATATTAAGCCCCACCTCCCTCTATATTAAGCCTCACCTCCCTCTATATTAAGCTTCCACCTCCCTCTATATTAAGCCCCACCTCCCTCTATATTAAGCCTCACCTCCCTCTATATTAAGCTTCCACCTCCCTCTATATTAAGCCCCACCTCCCTCTATATTAAGCCTCACCTCCCTCTATATTAAGCTTCCACCTCCCTCTATATTAAGCCCCACCTCCCTCTATATTAAGCCTCACCTCCCTCTATATTAAGCTTCCACCTCCCTCTATATTAAGCCCCACCTCCCTCTATATTAAGCCTCACCTCCCTCTATATTAAGCTTCCACCTCCCTCTATATTAAGCCCCACCTCCCTCTATATTAAGCCTCACCTCCCTCTATATTAAGCTTCCACCTCCCTCTATATTAAGCCCCACCTCCCTCTATATTAAGCCTCACCTCCCTCTATATTAAGCTTCCACCTCCCTCTATATTAAGCCCCACCTCCCTCTATATTAAGCCTCACCTCCCTCTATATTAAGCTTCCACCTCCCTCTATATTAAGCCCCACCTCCCTCTATATTAAGCCTCACCTCCCTCTATATTAAGCTTCCACCTCCCTCTATATTAAGCCCCACCTCCCTCTATATTAAGCCCCACCTCCCTCTATATTACATGTAAGCTGGCATTACTCTTTCCTTTATTAAGTTCCAACCCCCTCTCTATTAACTCCATCCATAACCACATCTCCATCATTAACCCTCGTCTCTTCTTAGTTAGGCCTCCACCTCTTTCTACTAAGCCC